ATTTATTCAATAAATTATTTATTTTTGTATTTAAATAATTGAATTTTTGCAGAATTTTCTAATAAAAAATATGGATTTAAAAATGAATTTCAGCAAAAATTTTACATAATAATCGAATATTAAAAGCATTATAGCGTAAATTTTCAAAAATAATTGAATTTTGAATATTTTTGAAAATAATTACATTTTTTGAAGAATTTACTTAAAATTGTATTGATAATAATTGAAATCCTGTGAAGAATTTTATTATTTAACAGAATAATAATTGAATTCTTGCAACCAATTTTATTAAATTTTGTTTAAATAATTGAAATCCTGTGAAGAATTTTATTATTTATGAAAATAATTGAATTCTTGCAACGAATTTTTATTAAATTTCTTTTAAATAATTGAAGTCTTGTAAATAATTTTATTATTTATGAAAATAATTGAATTCTTCCAACGAATAATTTATTAAATTTTTTTTTAATAATTGAATTGTTTTGAAAAATTTGATTTTGAAAATATTTAAATTTCAGCGGAGAATTTCAATATTTGTGAAATGTAATTAAATTCTTGAAAAGAAAATATAAAAATAATTACATTTTTCGAGAAGAATTTACTTAAATTGTATTGAAAATAATTGAAATTCAGGGAAGAATTTTATTATTTATAAAAATAATTGAATTCTTACAAAGAATTTTTTTTAAATAATTGAATTGATGTGAAAAATTTTATTACTTGTAAAAATAATTGAATTCTTGCAAAGGATTTTATTTAAATTTTTGTAAATAATTAAATTTTTTTTTTGAAAAATTTTATGTAAATTTAAATTATTATAAAACATGAAGATAACAATCATTCCGAGTCGAAGACTCGGAGTAAATTGATATCTTCATGTTTTATAATAATATTCTTAAATGTTATTGAATTTCAAAAGGTTTGAATTTAAAAATTTTTGAAAATCTTAATTCTTATGGAAAAATAATAATGATTAAATATTTATTTAAAAAAAATTTATTGATGTTTTCGAATAATTTTCCAATTAAAGAAATTTGTAATTAAATGTAACAGATAATTTTTTTGAGTATCTAATCATTTTTATAGTGAATCAGAATATTTTTTAGGGACAGGGATAAAATTCTGAAAAAGACGATATTTTCAATTTTCAAGAAGACGATAATAAATTTGTAAAGATACTTAAAACTTAATTTGTAAAATAAAAATTAGTGTCGAACTTTTTTGATTAGTTTGCAGAATGTTGAGAAATTTCTCACAGTCTTGAATTTTCGAGGAGGCTTTTCATTTTCTACGGCCTGATTACTGTCGAAACATAACACGAAACTTTTCTGATTCAAGAGCAGCTTTTTGGCACATTCTCTAAAATTCTCTAATTACGTTTCGACGGGGGGTTGAGAAAAGCGATTAGGACAGAAACACACACACTCACACACAGGAGAGAGAAAAGGGAATTAGTGTTCATTGTTTTGTCGAAAATTCTCGTTTTGCTTCGTGTCTAGACCTATATTCGCTATATATGTAGCCACATTGGCGAATGAGAAAAACAACAAAGTGAAAAAAAAGAGAGGCGTGTCGCCAATTGCTTCGTAAGCTCAATTATTATCGAGAATGAACTACATTGTGGCACGCGTCAACACCAGTCATTACGTTATTCAAATGACTATTCATCAGCCACGATAACCGGTTCATTATCACTTTTTAAAATCCCATTTCAATCCCAAATACAATTCAGATTATAATAATTAAAATTTTTTTTTTAAATTAAAAAACATTTTTAGAAAAGTCTTAAAAATGTCTTAAAAATTTCTTAAAAATTTCTATTAAAAATAGAAATAGTAGATCTTTCTGGGAAATCAATTTTCGACGAGTTAAAATTTTCGTTTCAAAATATAAAATTAAAATTACACACTTTTTAGTTTCTTTAGCATCTTTAGTAGTTAGTTTACTGTCAATATTTAACTAACATAAAGAAACGTTAATTTTCCCTGGTGTAAAGTAGAGAAATTTCTGAATTGAAGTCACGCCACTGACCACAGGTATTTCCTTCTAAATTCGACCCTGTAGTCAAGATACAGAGCGTAACTTAACTACAGAAGAACGCTTAACACAATTCTGCCATCAAAATGAAAAATATGCTACAAAATATTTGTTTCCTTTTTTTATAATAAAAACTGACATCAATTTATTCTTACAAACTTTTCGTTATTTAGAAAAATTAATCAACAAAAAAAAGAATCAAATTTTACTGAAATTTGTAAATATTATCAAAATTATCAAAATAATAAATTAATATTAATAATTTTTAATTTATTTTTCGATTTATAATAATAATTCTATGCTTATTTAGAAAAAAAATCAAATTTCACTAAAATTTGTAAATATTATCAAAATGATCAAAATAATTAATTAATATTACTAATTTTTAATTTATAATAATAATTATATACTTATTTAGAAGAAAAAGTCAAATTTTACTGAAAATTATAATTATAATTATTGTCAAAAATAAAAATAAACCGAAACATAATTTACGATGAAAAGCAAATAAACCTGAAGATAATTAACCCCTAAGGAAATATTAACAAAAATATTAGAAAAATAATGTTTACAGTTAAAAAAATAATTTTTTCAACTCCATGACCAGCGATTTTTAAGGTATTTTTCTTGAGAGAAAAAAAACAATTATACATTGTCCCGATTCTCAGGCAATTCTAAGTATTTCTTTGTTTATTAATATTTGTATTTAAATTTCCTAAAACTGTAATTATTTCATTAAGTATACTTTCTTAAAATGTATTCAATTTTACAATTTCTTTTTGCATTTCATTATTTTTCTATTTTTTCTGAAGACAAATTTCATTTTTATTATAGGCTTCGCACTCAAAAATTAATTTTAAAAACGTAGCAAAAAGTAGCTATAAGACTGAAAAAAGTATCTATCGAAAAATTAAATTTCATCACTAAAATACTCGTTTTAGTCGATTTACAAAAGTCATAATCATTTTTTTCTGCATATATTCAATTATTATCTAAAATTTTAACTGAAATCCATTGTTAAATCAATTCTTTTTGAAAAGTTCTATGAAAATTCAATTATTTAAATACAAAAATAAATAATTTATTGAATAATTGATTACTTCTTAAAATTTATCTTAATATTAGTAATCTTAATCTTAATTAATCTTCTATTCAAGAATTTTAATAAATTTTTTAAAAATAAATACATTTTTCGAGCAATTATTCATTTAAAAATTGTATCTATTAAAAATAATTTAAATCTTACAAAGAATTTTATTACTTACGATTGAAAATAGATTAATTTTTAGAAGAATTTTATTGAAATTGTATTAAAAATAATTGCATCTTATATAAAGAATATTATTAAAGTGTTTGAAAATAATTGAATTTCTGGGAAGATTTTTATTAATTTTTTTTTATTAATTGAATTTTTCCAATAAATTTAGAAAAGATTCTATTGGAAATAATTGAATTCTTATAAAAATTGTATCAATAATTTCAAAATAATTAAATTATTTCGAAGAATAGAATTGAAATTGGATTGAAAATAATTGAATTCCAAAAAAGAATTTTATCAAAATTTTTGGAAATAATTCAATTATTTCGAGAAATTCAATTTAAATTGTATTAAGAATAATTATTGAATTCTTATACAAGTTTTTAAAAAAAATTTGTAAGTAATTGAATTCCTCTAAAGAATTTTATTATTTATAAAAATTACTCAATTTTCTTGAAATTTTTTATACGAATTAAATTAAAATTGTATCAAAAATATGCAATAATTCTTGTATCAAATTTTATTAAAATATTAAAAATAATTTAATTCTTTCTAAAAATTTGTATTAAAATTGTTTTGCAAGTAATTGAATTTTTGCGAAGAATTTTATTTTTTTAGAAAATAATTTAAATGTTTTAAGAGTTTTATGGAAATTTATGAAAATAATCGAATTCTTGCGAAGAATTTTTTAAAAATTATATTCAAAATAATTGAATTTCTGTAAAAAATGTTATTATTTGCAAATATAATTAAATTCTTGTATAGAATTTTATTAACGTTTCTGGAAATAATTGATTTTTCTGAACCATTTTCTTAAAATTTAAAAGAATAATTCAATTAGAATTGTATTAGAAATAATTGAATTCTTGGAAAGAATTTGATTATTTATGAAAATTATTTAATTCTTATATAAATAAATTTTATCAAAATTTAGACTGTAATTAAGTTCTTTAAAAAAAATTTCATTAAAATATTTCAATTAAATGATTTCTTTCGATAAATTTTCTTAGAAAATTGCATCTTAAATAATAGAATTCGTGCGAAAATTTAGTATTCGTGCTATTATTTGAATATTTGCGAAAAATTTGATTAAAATCTTTTATAAAAAATTGTATTCTTTTAAGTTATTTGATTAAAATATTAGATATTGAAAATAATTGCATTTCGGTTAAAGATTTCATTATTTATAAAAATAATTGGAATCTTGTGAAGAAATTAAAAAAAAGTTTTGACAATAAGTAAATTATTTGAAAGAATTTTATTAAAATTTTTTGAATTGTTCCTAAAAAGTATTTTATTAAAAATTTTAATAATAATTTTTTTATTTTAATTATTTGCGAATTTTAAAGTGGTGCAAATTTTCAGAAAAAGAAGAAATAGGTAGCTTTTAGTGTAACAAATTTTAAAAAAAAGTATCCAAATAGTAGGTAATCGTTAAAAAAGTAGTAAATAGTAAGTTTTAGTAGATGAGTGCGAAGCCTGTTATTTACTATTTATGATTTAGAAATTGTAATTTATAATTATTATTAAAATTATTTTTCAAAATTAATCTATTTAAATTATTTATTATCAAAGTTTAATTTTTGATGGCAGAAATTATTATATTTATACACATTTCTCTTAAAATACCTACTGTGAAAATTTGATTTAAGAGGAAAATGAAAACAAAAGAGTTGATAAAAAATAAAAAATATAAATTACTCACGTGAATCCCTTTCAATTAAATCATAAAGAAGAGCGGCAGCTTTTTTCTCGTCAACGCAGTCCCAAAATCCATCGCAGGCTATTATCAAAAAATCCTCGCTCCCATCCAACGGAATTTTAAGGATTTCCGGTTCACTTGAAATGTATGGCTTATATTGTCTGTCACCTGAAATAAAATTCACAATTATTTTCTGTACTTGAAATGAAAAATGTAAATAAATTGCTTCTCTAAAATTTTTATTCATATTTATTTATATTTATATACAATATAAATATTTTCTTGAAATTTTTTTCAACTTGAAGAAAAAATAATTATATTAATGTTACCGTGAATGGAAAAATAAATCAATGTTACATTATAATACACGGGGGGGGGGGGGGGGAAATTAATATTAATTGGAAATATTTCATTTAATTAATGAGAATAAACACTTTGTGCCAGTATCAACAAAAGGTGCTTTTAGAGGAGACTATATCTCTTACACACTTTTTAAAAACACGCAAGTAACGTAGAATCAGTATTCAAGACAGTCATAATTAAGTTTAATCACCTAATTAATGAATGTGAGGCTGATCTACATAATGGCGCCAAAGTAGCGTGGGCGCTTCCGGTTATTACATTACATATTTCAACACACTTTTTTTTCTTTCTTTTTCTATATTTATATACATAATTATATTTTTATTTTGCCGCACTTTGATAATAGAATTTTTCTTTTCTTTTCGCGAGTAAAATAATGTTATTTCATTCTAAACTTGCCAAACTTCAAGATACTTTTTTTTATTCTGCTTTGGAGGCTCAAATCTGTGTAAAAGAAATCGTGACAAGTAAAAAAGAACTTTTAATAAAGAACAATGTATGAACAGTATCCCTAATCGATAAAAATAATTGAATTCAATTTATAGTTATTTTTTCGAGATATAAAATTCAGGGCTCGAACCAGTGAAAATATTTCAAAATACAGATTTTACGGACCAAGAATGAAAAATTATTTTACTTCTTTAAAATTATTTTCATCATTTCAATTTAATTATTATTTTCAAGAATTTTTAACTAAAAGTATTCTTCTCCTAAGACCTAAACAATTATTTTTAATAATTTTCGAAAAAGTTCTTCGCTAATTATATATATTAAATATATATTAGAAAATAGAAACTTCAAACAATATAAAAAAATTTAATTAAACTATTTCAAAAAAATTAATTTCAAAATTCAATTATTTCGAATAATTCACGCTATATTGCCTTCAATATTAAATTATTATCTAAAATTTTAACTGAAATTCATTTTTATGAAATGAAAATCAATTTTTATTAGAAAATTCTACTAAATTTTAATTATTTAGATACAAAAATAAATAATTTATTGAATAATTAAATGTTTACTTAAAATTTAATTCTTATAAAGAATTATATTAACAAATTTTTAAATAATTGAATTCTTTTGACGAATTTTAATAAAAATTTATAAGAATAATTACATTTTTCGAGAAATTCAATTAAAATTGTATGTAATTTCAAAAAATTTTTGCAAGAATTTAATTACATTTCACAGATAATGAAATTCTTCGCTGAAATTCTAATATTTTCAAAACCTACTATTTTAATAAAATTTCTTAAAAAAATTCAATTATTTAAAAAAAAATGTAATAAAATTCGTTGCAAGAATTCAATTATTTTCATAAATGATAAAATTCTTCACAGGATTTCAATTATTTAAAAAAATAAAATAAAAATTCGTTTCAAGAATCAAATATTTTCATAAATAATAAAATTCCGAGTAAAATTCTTCCCAGGATTTCAATTATTCTTCTAAATAATAAAATTCTTCACAGGATTTCAATTATTTTTAATACAAATTTTAATTAAAGTCTTCAAAAAATGTAATTATTTTTTAAAATATTCAAAATTCAATTATTTTTTAAAATTAAAATACTAACTAACATTTTATTTTTAATACAATTTTAATTAAAGTCTTCAAAAAATGTAATTATTTTTAAAAATATTCAAAATTCAATTATTTTTTAATATTCAAATACTAACTAAAATTGTAACTGAAATTCATTTTTAAATCAAATTTTATAAGAAAATTGTACGAGAACTCAACTATTTAAATACAAAAATTAATAATTTATTGAATAATTGAATGATTCTTAAAATTGAATTCTCATAAAGAATTGAAGGGCTACATAAAATAAGGGGACGAACGCGTGGTTGAAAGGGATAATATCAGTCAGGTAGCAGCGAGCGGCTCAAGGCTTGTCACTGCTACCCGACTGGTAGTATCCCTTCCAAGCCTCGCGTTCGTCCCCTTATTTTATGTAGCCCTTCAATTATATATAAAAAATTTGTAAATAATTGAATTCTTTTGACGAATTTTAATAAAATTCTTAAGAATTATTACATTTTTCGAGAATTTTGAATAAAATTGTTTTAAAAGTAGGTAATGGAAATTCTGCGATGAATTTTATTATATATTTATAAAAATAATTGATTTTCTAAAAAGAATTTTATTATTTTTTAACATAATTAAATTTTTGTGAAGAATTTCATTACTCTTGAAAATAATTGAATTTCTGCAATAATTTTTAATTTCTCTAAAATTCAATTTTTTTCGTGAAATTCTTCAATAAATCAATTATTTTTAATAATTTTTGAAAAAGTTATTTGAGAATTTTGAAATTCATTTGTTTATAATTCAATTTTCCAAAATTTCATTTATTCGGAAATTCTTCAAATAAATACATATATATCAGAAAATAAGAACTTAAAAAAAATAATTTTACTTAAAAGTATGAAAAATTAAAATTTTCAGAGATTTTTATATGAAAATTAATTTTAAAATCTACTATTTAATAGAATTTCTTAAAAGAATTCAATTATTTTTAAAAAAATGTAATAAAATGCGTTGCAAGAATTCAATTATTTTCATAAATTATACAAATCTTTACTGGATTCTAATTATTAAAAAAAAAATTTAATAAAAATTCGTTGCAAGAATTCAACTATTTTCATAAACAATAAAATTCTTCACAAGATTTCAATTATTTTAAAAGAATGTAATAAAAATTCTTTACAGGAATTCAATTATTCTCCTATAAATAATAAAATTCTTCACAGGATTTCAATTATTTTTAATACAATTTTATGTAAATTCTTAGAAAAGTGTAATTATTTTCAACAATATTAAAATTCAATTATTTTTGAAAATTCATGCTATAATGCTTTTAATATTTAATTATTATGTAAAACTTTAACTGAAATTCATTTTTAAGTCAATTTTTATAAGAAAATTCTATTAGAATTCAATTATTTGAATAAAAAAAAAATTTATTGAATAATTGAATTCTCATGAAGAATTTTATCAACAAATTTTTAAATAATTGAATTCTTTTGACGAATTTTAATAAAAGTTTTAAGAATAATTACACTTTTTGAGGAATTCCATTAAAATTGTATTAAAAATAATTGGAATTCAGCATTGAGTTTTATTTTATGAAAATAATTGAATTCCTAAAAAGAATTGAATTATTATTTACGAAAATAATTGAATCGTTGTAAAAATTTTATTATTTATGAAAATAATTGAGCTATTTAGAAGAAATTTATAAAAATTTGTAAATAATTGAATTCCTGTGAAATTTTTATTATTTTATGAAAATAATTAAGTGTTTGGCTAGAATTTTATTAATATTTTTTTAAATAATTGAATTCTTTTGGAAAATTTTATTTAAATAATAGATATTGAAAATCGTTGAATTAGGAAAAATTTTTTTAAATAATTGAAATTTTGACAAGAATTTTATTAAAATTTAAAAAAAATTTTGAAAATAATTGAATGTCAGATAGGCCAGTCGGTGAGTGCAAAAAGTGCACAAAAGTGCAACTGGAAAAGTCTCAATAGTTTCTTGTAGTTTGGGGGCCCCATATAAGAGCACCATGGTTTGCTCTCGATTTCCGGTTGCAAAAAATAGTGTAAACAATCGTCAAAGTTCGAGAAACGTAGTTTTTCGATGACCCTTGCTTCCGGTTAAATTTTAGAGGAAAAAGTTGTTATTGAAAGTTGTAGAGCCTAAAAATACCTTTCAAATGATTGGTCATACGTTGAAAAAGGTTAATTAGTTTAGTTGCAAATGAATTTAAACCATTAAAAATAGCACTTTTTTAATTGTTTAATAACTTTGTTAATAATTATTGAATTTGTTTACAACTCACCAGGAATATTCTCCTTGCGAAGCTGAATAAATTAAAAAAAAAGTCAACTCGATCGGACAAATAGTTTATGTTTTATTCCATTTGTTAACTAAAAACATGAAATTTTTCAACAGAATTTCCCCACTTTTGGACCTGCGAATTTCGTTTTTTTTTCTTCGAGAGTACAGTTTAGGAGTCAAACTTTGATTCCATTTAAATGGGAAATTGATTTTTCTTATCTAAGTGCATAATAATAGACGTTAAAAAAGGGTATGTTTTTTTGACATAAACAAATGGAATAACTCAGTCAATTTTCACTTTATCGATTTGGTGTAAAGGGATTTAAATTTCATTCGTTTTCACAAAACTTTTCCAAAAAAAAATCCGACCTAGCTTCAAGGAGGGGGGAGTTAGTTTATTTTTTTCAAAAAATTCCTGACTAGTTAATTATCAATATTTTTAATTGCAATTCATACCACTTATAGTTCAATGTATGTATTTTATGAAAAAAAATTGGACATAAGGTTTTGTGCATTTATTTTTAATTTATATCAAGTAAAAGTAAATGTATCCATTTTTCAACCTCTGAACGGCGGAGTGGGGGTACTCGGAGGAGCGTGATTCTCGCCGCCACAACTCAATTCAGCCGTTCAAATTTGCAAAAATTGTCATAACTTCGTTAATTATTTACCGATTTTTATCTTTCTTTTTTTAATTTGATGTATTTTTTTACGCTGAATCCAAAAATAATTTTATATGTTTTCAAAATACAATATTTTTAAAAATAAAAGAGAAAATTTTTTTAACAAAAAATTTTTAATTATTATTTATAACATTTGACAAAAAATTCTTTTCGTACATATAATTCCATTGCATTCAGAATAATATTATGACATAAAAAAATTCAAATTAATTATTTATAAGCTTGTAGCATCAGGTTCACATATGCACGCCTGTTCAACTATCAATACA